TAGTTTTTCTTATTTTTCTTAAAGAAAAGATAAAAATTCTTTGAAAGAAAACTTTAATGAAAAATTCACTTTTTATAGCAATTATTGCTCGTACACAATAATACTAAATAGTACTAAATATAACAAGTATTTGTGATATAAAATTAAGTAATGAATGGTTTTGCAACATTTATAATATTAAAAGATTTTTTTTGTTATTAAATTATCAGTTTATAGAATTAAATCAAACGGATTATTTTATCATAACATTATTTATCCTTTATTTGGTGTAATGTCTTAATACTAAAAGGTATTTTAATATTTTTTAGGGAGTAATTATGAAAATAGATTTATCTAAAGTATGACTTTGCTATTTTATATTTTTAACACTAAACAGTCTGTAGTTTTAGGTTTATTATAATAGTTAACTTTTTATGAAATGGTTCTCGTGCATAAACTTAAATATTTATTCTATAGTATTTGTTATATTTGAAATATCATTGTTAATGCTATTACTCACTTTTCAAACAAAATGAATTTATTTTGTCTCTTTACTCGTTGAGTTTCATTTATTAAAAAAATGTACAAAATAAAAGGGAAATTATTTTTAATTAGAGAATAGTTGTTACTGCTAATGTTTATTTATGTTTGTTTAATATTGTAACATTAAATTATTTCTCATTAGTATAAGAGTTTACAGAAAAATAATCAGTTCAAACAATAAAATAAAAATTTTTTGTTTATTTGTGAAGTGCTTATTAATCAGTTAATATAGTTGATTTTAGTCATATTTAATAAATAATATTTTAATATTTTTCACACACATATAATTCATTCATTTTAATTTATAAGTTAATTTATAAATACATACAAATACATATAATTTAAAATAGTTATTAACCAATAAATGTGGCTCAAAATTTAATTATCTTTAATTATTTAAAAACTATTCAGAATTACTTCTAATAGGTAGATTGTTAATTAAGGTTTTTAATTTATCTTTACGATCATATGATAAATTTATAAATAAATTAATAAAAACAGATGTTGTTTTCGTTGGCACTAACCTAAAATTAAAAAACGATGGAATATGATATAAAGTATTTTTAATTTTGTTATTCAATTTTAATTCAATTTCATATATGTCTTGGTAAAGAAAGAAGGAATTAACTAAACACTGAAACAACTAAAACTAACAAAGAAAAGTTATAACCTAAGAACGAATAGTTCTAAATATAAAACCTGAAATAAGTTTTGAAACCTTTTGGAAATAAAGAAACATAACAATAGATACGTTTTGTCAAAATAGGGGTATTTTTCCATATACAATAAGCTATTTGAACATTAACCACCAGTTTAATTTTATGTTCTTTTAAAAACAAATGTCAATTATAATAATATAAACACTTTAATGAGAAGAAAAGTCTTTAAAATTCTGCATAAGAAGAGAATAACTGAGAGATAAGATTTCCATCTTTGTATTAATAGAATCATTCCAAACGAATTTAGGATTGCAACGATAAATGCGATCAAAAATAGAAGGTTCTCTTTCGTTTGACAGAAGGGAAAAGAAATAATATTCCATTTCATCTGTTAATAACAAGTGTGTTGAATGAAATAAAATATCAAATAAAGAAAACCATTCAAAATAATCCAAAGTCTCGATAGTGTTTTGCATTTTTTTGAGAACATACCCTAAAACAAATATATTTGACTTTGCTTTTTCTATTGCGTTAGTCAAATGCGATGAAATGCAAATCAAAAAAGATACAGAATCGATGGTTTCAATACCAGTAGAAATAAGGGTTTTCTAGAGAATTGTTAGTTAAATTTGTTGTGAGAGAAGAATAAAAGTGATACGAAACAAACAAGGAATAATTGGTCAAAATTGAAGACTTCTAAATATTCTTCACACATTTTACTTTCGGAAAATTGATTTCCAGCACAAAATGATTTATCAAACAAATCTGTAATAACAAGTTTTGGATTTACTTTAGAATTAATGTAGGGTCTATGTGACTTTGAATTTGATACATCAATATGTTTTTTATCTTCTAAACATATTGGTAGTTGTTGTATGAGAGTTTGGTGATTGCAAATTTTGTTTTCATTAACTATGTTTTGAGTCTTTTCATTAATACAGTCTGTTGATGGGTCAATGTCAAGAAGTTCATCTAACCTTTTATTAATCAACTTATAATGTACCCAACGAACAGTAAATTGGTCAAACATAATAAGAAAAATGTGTGTTAATGCAGAATGTTTTCTTGAACCACTTTTTGTTGGTTCAGTATGACATTTCCCATAATTTATTACTGTTCCAGTCCCAGTATTGAAAACGGTTACTTCTTGTTTTTTAATAGTAACGGGTTGGAGGTACACTGTTCTTCTTTGGAAAGTCTTATCTTTCCAAAGAATGTATTGAAACAGTATTTTGTTTGACATACAAACTATTCATTTTTAGATGAAATAAATAAATCTATTTTAACATCTTATTTTTTTCTCATAAATGAGTGTAATTTCCTCATTGAATAATTCTTTGTGAAAGGTTGGTCTGCGTTATGAATTGTGAACTATAAAGGAAAACGCTTATTTTTCTTTTCGTTTTTAGATACTTTTTGTTTAGAACTATTTACATATATTTATATAATGTTCTTAAAATAAATGTTTGGTTGACTCACCTTTTTTTTTGGTTTCACTTCTTATCTTTTTTTCAATCTCTTTTTTTTAAATCTATAATATTTACTTACAACTTGTTTATAAACTGAATTGAATAAGGATTATTGAAGGTTATACGTTTATGCTGTAATTAACGAAGTTTCTATGTTATTCAAGAAATTAGTTTCCTTCTTTTGAATTTGATTTAGTTTGGATAACAACTTAAAAGTACATGTTATTTCTGACTAAGCAAATAATTTTCAACTGGTTTTTTTTTAAATAAAATTAATCTTATTGATATTTAAAAAAATGAGTGCAGAAAGATTTATTACTTTAAAATTGCTTTTATCAAATTTTTTTAAATAGAAAATGTCCAATTTTAGGTTCTTCTAAAAGAAAAATTTACACAAACTCAAACTAAGCAATTTTAAAGACAAGACAACTTTTAACTTCCACCATAACTAAAAAACAGAATTGTTGCATTCGTATTCTTGTTACTTTCTTTTCTTTAAACTAGACTTTTACCTATTTTTAATTGGATTGGGATTGGATTATTCCAAACTTTTAGTTCATATTTAGACAACTAAGTTCACCTGACCTTAGAAGATTTAAACAAACACACTAAATACTAAGGTTTTTAACCTATAAATGACTTTAAATGATTCTATAATTCTTTTATTTAAAAATTGCCATAGCCTGACTTAAAAAATAAAATTCTTTATAGTCCATATTCTAGAGGAAGAAACACAAGTTAAAACGATTTTTTGATAAAACAATGAATATAGTTGATGATTAATACTAAGGATTTACTAAATTAATTACAGAAATTCCTGTTTTTAACATAGAATTAAAGGGTTGAATTTTCAAATACAAAAAGTATTAATCTCATTATTTAATAACTATAATAAATTGAACTAAACATGTTGAGATGTTAACAAGTGTTGTTGAATGAGAAACAAAGAAACTGTTTTTTTTTTCTAATGAGAATAAACTTTCTTTATTTGAGTTTTTAAAGTTCTATCTTTTCTATATGAAAATAGTAAAATTCTAACATTGTTTTTTTTATATTTTTAAAAAGGACTTTAAGAATTTTCTTTGTAAGTTATTACACCATTATTTACTTGTTATTTATAATAAAATTGTAATGTTTTTGATTCTCAAACTAAATTCCTTTATTTTTATTGTTGTTGAATCAATTCAATGTTTATTAATAACAAATAGAATGAATTAATCTAATTATTTGGTAAATTATGGAAAAAGAAAGTATTTAATACGTTTATTTATTTATTGTTTCTTGCTGATGTGGGATTAGTTTTTTTTTATTTTTATGACATGAATTTACTGTTTCAACCATTTTATAAAGTGAAAAGTTTTGAGTAGAGTGTAGGTGGTAGTAACATTTAAGTTGTAAATTTGTTCTTAACTGCGGTAGTATATTTCTAATAACATTACATGGTATAATTTATATTATACATCTATTTTAATTATTCTTATCATTATGAAAAACAAAAAATAGTAATGAGATATGTTATATTTACATATAAACTAATTCTATCTTTATGAAAGAAGTAGACTAACCTTATTATAAATATTAGTATTATTATTTTGCTTCAATTCATTCAATACAGTTTATTTCTAATACTTCGTTTTTTTTTATTCAGCACTAAAAGATTATGAG